GAATGTGGGAGTCCCCGGACTCCTCACTCCAGCCTCTTTTCCTCTTTATGCCTGCGGGCAGTTTTTATCATCTCCTTCAAATGGTTAGTGCTTTTGTGCCAAGATGCCTAGTAGACACCTCCACTGAGCTTCAAATTCAGTTCAGCCAAAAATCCAACTCAGAAAGTCAAAAAGAATTTGAAAAAAAAAAAAAAAAGGAGCAAATTCTGGGTGTTAGGTAGTTATGGGAAAAAACCCTAAAGACGTATTATTAAAAGAGTGGGTCTATTCCTAATTGCTACAAATCAATGAGAGTTCATGGTAACCTATCAAAGTCCTGTGTTTTACTAACAGAACTCCCCTCTGTCTTCCTACCTACTACCCAGCATTTATGCAGTGGCCACCCATTTGTGTTCCAAACATTCCTGAAGAGTCCCCATTCCAGAAGAGCCCATCACAGGCTGGAGGCCAGTGGGGATAGGGAAGGAGGTTGTTAGCCCCTGGGTCAGGGCAGCTGTGAGGAGACACCACTGTGTAAAGCCCAACCCAGTGGCTGCTGGAGGGCCGCTCACCATTGCCTCCAGCTCTCTGGCTTCCTGTGTTCCTATCCACAGGATCAGGCAGTCAGGATCCTGGCCTGCATGTCAGGCTCGCTCTGGGCCTGAGCTGACTGTGGGATGCCACTTTCTTTACAGATAGCATAGCATGTAGGGGCTGGCTCCCCCATTTGATTCCCCTACCAATGCCACTACCCCCTCCCACCAGTATCCCTGGGAGATCTGGCTCCTGGCCCTGACCTGGGTGTGTGCACTGTCTTGCCAATGGCCCTGGGTAGGAGGTGGGATTGCTGGGCTAGGCCCAGGGAGAGCCAAGGGCATTTCCTGAGCCCACCTGATGATGCCTGCTCCCCCTGAGGACCCTGGGTGTCTGGGAGCACCTGTGTCAGGCAGCATGCAGGTGCCTTCCATGACTGCCTGCTCAAGGGCTTTCAGTGCAACCTGGGTCAAAAACCTGGTTTCACTCTTCCAAAAGGCCCATGGACAAGTTGATACTCTTGTGAGCCTCCGCATGGGTACACAGTACTTGGTAAGCTGACAGGTGTTGTGCAAATCCTGAGCAACTATTTCGTGAACCACATTTATAATGTGAAGCATTTTTAGATAATTGTCATGAAAAGAATCCAAACAAAGTAACATAAATGTCAATCCATTGTGTGTACAAGTCACTTAGAGATGTTTATTCTGTAGTCATCAATGTGGCCGGTGATTCATGTTTGTGGGAAGCAGATGTTAGGGCTGTGATCTAGAAAAGTGATCTTGGTTGGCTTCCTGACCTAGTGGGGAGGCTGAGAGCCACTCTCCCTGGCTGTCCGCCTTCTGCTTTGTGCTGTCTTCCTGTAAAGATCTGTCTCCAGCCCTGCGCCTAGCACCAAACCACAGCGGAAGGCAAAGCTATTGCTCCTAGCGACAGGCGGTTACCAAGGAGACCAAGTAAACCAAGTTCATGCATGGCCCCAAGTTGGCTCTGTCCTCTGGTTTCCGCCAGTGAGCTGTGATTCTGATGTTCCCCAAATTCAGACCATGCTATTACCTTTGGTCCTTTTCTCAGGAATCCTCCCTGTACAATGAAGTTCCTGCATATGATCTTGTGCATCTGAGAACCGCTTTTGAAAATTCAGATGCATAACGTCCACTGAGAGCATATGGCAAGGAAGAGTCACAAGCACGGTAGACAGTTAGACTCTCCCAAACCTAATGTGCCTTCTCGACAGAGACCCCGGACTTAATTAGTGCAGTAGGTCAAATCTGTGTTTTTTTTACAGGTCAGTGAGTAGCTGGCGGTTAGGAAGGGGCCAGAAATCCAGTCGGCTTGTTAGAAGTGGCTGTCCACTGACTGCCCTTACCCAGGAAGGAGAAAGCCGGCCTCTGCACCATGGACCTCACAACTCTTTATATAAACACTTTTTCTGGAGCCATAGTCCAGATGGACAGGGGCCCCTTGTGCCCCTCAGATTGTCAAAGGTGCCCTGGGGTTTCTTCTGCCAACCGGCCGGAGGGTAGAAACCTGGGCTTCTTGTCTGACTTTTTCATACCCTTAGGTGGGTTTAGTTGTGTCTTCCCCAGGGTGAAGAATGTTACATTACTCTGCCAAGCCACCTTTCGAGCTGTGAGTATTGGGGTGAAAACTCTGTAGACCTCCACATTTCCAGTCCATACCCCCACCCTGGCTTCCTAGCAGGCTTTCCCCGCTCCAGGTTTGCAGGTTCCAGTGACCCAACCACCCCCATCCAATTTGCCTAAGAGCGGGGTTGAAGGAGAGGTCATTAATTTGTATCAAGATTAGTGGAGGCAAGTGTGGATCCACTACACTTTATTCCTGGGCCCCTGGGACCTAAATACCATCACCAGGGGATGTAGCAAGCCTCGGCAGAGACTCTCACATTTCCCCTAGAACTAGGCATGGCACAGAGGTCAGCCACCGTGCCGTAGCCTGGGCTGACCCCCAGCACAAAAGGGCATCCTCCATCCAGAAGTGTGTTACTGTGCTGCTGCCCAGTGGCTCTGGCATCTCTGTGCACTTGTCCCTGTTCTGCTGTAGTGATGTGCTTCTTATTTCCTGGCAGTGTCCCAGCATCATCCACCTCCTTGACCCTCTCCAGTTTTTGTGGAGGATACTTTATTCTCTTCCTTCAGTTGTCCCCAGTCTCTCTGGCTGGCTCACCCCAGTTCTCAGCCTTTTAACCCGCCTTCTTCTTGCTGTGGAGGAGGCTGGGTGTCTTGAGTGGGGGTGCCTGCTAGGGGACTGATAAAGCAGTAAGGTGGGTGTTGGTGTGATTTTTATGGGACTTCCTGGACACCGGGCTCACCCTCGGGTCCTCTGCTTTATGGGGCATGTCATTATCGATGGTGTATTTTACTGCGACTCCTTGAGAGCCTAGCTAAGTAACCTGTTCAAGATCCCACAGTGACCAGCAGAGCTGAGACACAGGCCAGGTGGTTCAGCTTTAAAGCCCCCCTGCCCACCCAGTCCTGTGGTTTTCAGAAGCTGATGGCTAGCAAGTGACTGTCTGCCTTGAGATTGGGAGAATGCTCCCCGGGCCAGATACAGGCGTCTTCAGGCATTCCTTTGGGGAAACAGAGCAAACGAAGACTGTCCCAATGTCCTGTTCTGGGAGATAGGTCACAGGGTTCCAGGTGGCATGTAAAATCCATCTATATTAAAATATTCAAACTTTAGTCTCGGAACACTACTAATTGGCTGCCATTCTCATCTGTGAAGTTGTTACTAGGAAAATTATAATCATTCCCTATGGTAAATTCCATAAATCCCACTGTTGCTTATGTAGCTTAAAATTATCTTCTCCAATTCAGTGAGGGTTGTAGAATCCAGAATTGTTGGGGAATCCAGAATTTTGTTGGGGAACTGGGCATTAAACACAGGAGCAGTCTACCATGGAGATACATCCCCAGCCCTTACTAAGTTGCCCAGGTTTGCCATCCTCCTGCCTAAGCCTCCTGAGTAGCTTGGATTTCAGGCATGTGCCACTGCACCTGACCATGTCAGCTTTTCAAAACAATGTTACACTGAGAAGCCAGCTACTAAAAGCCAGGCATTTCATCCCCTTAGAGAGTCGTTTCTATGAGCCTGAGATGTTATCCACCAAGCTTGGCATTCTGTTCACCTTTGACTTTAAACCTGTGGAGTTTCTCCCACAGCGACTTCTAGCCTTTACTCAGGCTTCCGTTTCCTTCTGCTGTACCCCAGAAAACCCACCGGCCCTGCTGCCCACTCCTTCTGAGCCCCTTCCCTCAAGCAGGTTCGCGGGTCCACATCGGAAGGCGAGTGCACACAGGTGTGCGCTAACTTGTTAACAAGAGTTGGGTCTGGGGGAGAAAACTGGGGCTTTTAAAAGCTTAAAAGTGAATCTGGTCTCTCCTCCCTCTTTCTGGAGCCGCCTGGGCAGAGAAGCAGGCCAGGTGATTCTGCTGCGTCTCCCGCTCCAAGCCGCGACGCGACCTTCCTGAGAAGGGTCTGAGAAAACGTGTCCCCAGGACTTGATCTGGAGAGGGCCTCGCAGAACAGGTGTAGAGGGCGCGGGGACATTTCAGGCGCAGCAGGCCTCGAGCGTGGCCGGGACCGCTGACTTCCTAATTGAAATCCGCGCCTCTTCCTTCCCGTCGCGGTTTCTGTCCAGTTCGGGACCATCACCTCGCTTTGCCTGCAGAACCTTTTTATAGTAGGAGGGCCGCCGGCTCAGGGGGGCACATTCTGGAAGTCGGGTCGCACGGTACCAGGGGCAGCCCTTCTACGCACGACGCCGGGCGGAGCCTGGCACGGTCTTCCCCACCGAAGCCTGGACCGCGCAAAGCCCGGGCCCTGGGCCACCGAATCCGCCGGACGTCTCACACTCCCGTTGCTCGTTCTCGCCCCTGGGCCGACCCCTGAAACCAACCCCTCCCGGCGGCGACGCTCTAGCAGGGTACCGTGCGGGCAGGTGCGGCGGAACTCGGGCAGAGCTCGCGCATCCGGGAGTTCGGCTTCGCCCCGCCCCCTGCGGCCCCGCCCCCGGCCGGCCCCGCCCCCGGCCGGCCCCTCACCGAGCCGCCCCGCCCCGCGCCCGTCTTCCCCCAGACACCCGTTTCCCTGGGCTGGCCCCGCTGACTCAGCCAGGACTTGCGGGCGGCCAGGGCGGGGCGTCGGGCGAGGCCCGCTGGGCCTCTCTCCCCACCGCCTTTCCGGTGTGAGCCGGAGGGACTGGGTGGTGATTGATGGCGGCGCAGCTGGAGCGCGGGCGGGGCGCGCACTGGGCGGGAGGCCGGCGAGAGCAGGGCCCTCGGGCGGGGCGGGCGGGGCGCGCGGGGCGGGACGGGTCCCGGGGGCGGGGCGAGGGGCCGGGCGGGACCCCGGGGGCGGGGTGCAGGCGGCCCGGGGCCCCTCTCTGCGCGCTCTCCCCGCCCCCGGGGGCCTGCGGCCACCTGCGCCCCGCCCCGCGGGCCGCGCCCGAGCCGGGGATCCGCTGAGCCGCGCGTGTGGGCTCCGGGGCTCGTCCGGCTGGCCAGGCGCCCGCGTTTCTGCGGCGAGTTCCCGGCCGGGGCGGACCGCAGCTCTGGGGATGCGGCAGCGTTGAGAGCTCGCCTCCAGCGGACACCGGAGCCGGTCGCGGAGAGTCCTCCTGGGGTGGGAAGTTGGGTCCGCTCCGCACTCCGGCATCATGGCCAGCCCTGCGGGGTCGCAGAACAAGGAAATAGACTGTCTGAGTCCAGAAGCTCAAAGACTGGTAAGAGGAAGGCGCGTTTCCCAGGCTTTGTTTCCGGACTGCGAGCGGTCCCGTCGGGTTGGCGCTTGACTGCTCGAAGGTCAAGGGCAGCCCGCGCTCTCCGCCGCAGCCGTCGGTGCCCAAGGAGGGGCGGAGTGGGCTCCGCCAGGCCGGGACCCTCCTCGCATGTCCCGGCACGGATGCCCGGAAAGAGCAGGCTTTGCTCCCTGACCACCAGTAAGTTGGCCGAGTGTCCCGTGCCGCTTGTTACGCGCTGGAAAGCACCACTGACTGCCTGGCGCCCCTTCCAAGGACGAAAAGAAACGTGGTCTCTGCGGGTGGTGATGTCTGTTGACAGGTTCTTCCCGCTCGGGTTGGCTCTGGCTAGGACCCAGCCGAGGTCTGAGGACCGCGCGGGGTCAAAGTTCCACCGAAGCTGCTAGCTTGGTATTTTACAAAATGCCGCACCTGGGAGCTGGTGTTCCAGGCTGCCGCGCTCAACCATGGGCGGACACCACTAGTGATTGGAATGGTGTGGAGCATTTCCCGGGCTCCTGACCTAGGACACCTCCTTAGAGGTTCCCAGACCCCAAGCCCATCTAAGCTGGTCTCCTGGGGTCTTCCAGGTCTGGGCAGGATCCTCCACGTGGCAATCCGTTACCCAACACCACACTCCCAAGAGGATGTCAGAGTAATTGGGCCTTAAAATTGGGCAAGGGGCAAGGTGGGGAAAGTTTGTGATTGCCCATTTTTGTGCAGCTTATGGTTAATTATGAATAGAAATATTTAAAAGTAAAGGAGTGGAAAAATACTTTGGAAAAGAAATACTCCATGGAGTTATTACTACAGAGAGACCCTAGATTTCCACTTTATCGGGTTTTTGTGGAACCTTGATAAAAATGTGAGCCCACCACAGCCGCTCTTTCCCAGGTAGGAATTAATCATCCAGTAGGTGTTCATGGAGATTCAGGATGAAGTAGACTGCTGCTCTCCTTGGAAGACCACTACTTACTAGGAAGTGCTGGAGAGGTATAGGCACAAATTCTGATGAAGGCACACTCAAAAATTAAGTTCTTGCTGAGGACTGTTACGTGTGCTTATGGTTTTTGTGTTTTGGATTTTTAAGTGTCCATTTAAAGTGCTTCTATGAGCTCATTTAAAGTTTAGGCAGTAGGCCAGACTATTGGATCTGGTTCTTCCACTTCAACCCAGGAACCAGGTTCCTAATGAGTTTCTAGGGCCCTGGGAACCTGCAGGGAGACCCTGGAATCCCCATCAGGGAAGAGACTTGAAAGAAGGAGGGACAGCAATGCCCTGAGCTGCTGGTGTTCAGAGAAACAACCCAGGCAGACCATAGAAGGCAAGACTGGGTGGACGTTAACCCTGGGCACGATCCTTGCACCAAGAGCCAACTGTTCCAGTCTTGGAGAAGGAAGAGTGAACGTTGGGAACAGGGTGTGAGGAAAGCAGGGAGTGCTGGAGGAAGTGTCCAGTGAACCCACCTGCCGCACTCCTAGACACTGGGTGTGAGTCTGCTGAACACAGGGAGCCCCAGGGGGCCTGGGTCAGACGCTGCTGGACCTGCAGGGAAGCCTGGAGCTGGGTCCCCTTCTGTGGGTGCTCATCGGTACCAGGCCCACCATCCCTCACCCCCAACCCGGAATTGAGTAACCTCAGAAAATGGAAAGAAGTGTGTGTGTGTGTGTGTGTGTGTGTGTGTGAGAGAGAGAGAGAGAGAGAGAGAGAGAAAGTCTATGGTAGAATTCATTTGGCAGTGAGGCCTGCCCTGACCCAGGGGAAGCTATTTTTAGTCTTTTTTGTTTTTAAATTTCTCTAGTGTGAATGTCCATACATTTCTCTGCAGCCCTGTTCGTGTATTGATTAAGGGCTCCTTGTCTGGACTGTTACAGAATGTATGCTGTAGGTGTCCCTGTATCCTTTAAAAACCCAGACTGCCAGATTCTGGGACGTAGTGGCCCTGGTGATTTCCAGTAAGAAACTGTGAACCTCCTATGGAAGGTGTTTTTTGTTTTGTTTTGTTTTTCTTTTGGTTTTGTTTGTTAAGTAAATAATGGCAAAAAAAAAAATACTATTAAAAAGGGACACAGAGGACAAAATAAAACATGGTCCCTGTTTATGAGGTCAGTAGTCTGGTTAGGAAGGAAGTGGCCAAAGGAGATGGCATAAGGGGCGTCACCCAGGGCTGCCCTAGGCCACAGGTCGGGTGTGCAGTTGGAGACCAGCAGTGAGCCTGTCAGACTGCCTTGTGCCATTTGTTTTTTGCATTCTATGTCTCTGGCTCCTGGGAACTGGAAACAGTTCTCCAGTGGAAGGAGGAGCTAGGGCCACATAGGTGTGACAGGGACCGCTGGGTAGGTGTAGCAAGCCCCACCTCACGGGCAGAGGCAGGCAGTCTGGGCTTCCGCAGAAGTCCTTGCTGCCCTGGGGCTGCAGGAGAGGACCCGCTGAGACTGTGTGGAAACTGGCTTCATTTTCGTAACTTCTGCTTGTTTGTAAGGTTGTGTCACCTCTGGTCTCTTTCCACATGTTGTGAGCTCTTGGCATTTGCCAGGACAGTCCAGTACTGAGGAGGGACCATCTGGATAGAGTGTAGACACCTAGTCTACCCAGTCCCTCTCACTACAGGACCTGGGCCAGACCCCCAGGTCTTGGACAGTCTGTATGTGTGTGTGTGGGGGGGGGGACTGATGGATATAGGGTGTGGCACCCTTAAAGGCTACTGGCCTGCTGTCACTCAGCACTGAGACCCCACGGTTTGTTTTAACTGTTATTTCCCCAAGCAGTTAAACTACATAAACAGCGAGGTGGATATTTTCTAGTAGTAGTAGGAGTGTCTTCCTGGGGCAAAGATGGAGACTAAATTTCCCTTTTTCTTTAAGAGCTAGTTTCTGTTCAGCCTGAACTAATATCACATAGCGGAAGCCTTAGCAAAATTTTAAAAACCCTGCAGTCTCAACCGCCACTTAGGCTGAGCACAGGAAATTGGGTTATTTATAGTTGCAAAACTTCTTCAGAGAAGCTGATTGGAGTGTTACCTGATGAGAGCAAGGTTCCTGCTGATTCCCATCAGAGTTGTGAGACATCGGTGTGACATGTGTCCTCCTCCAAAGGCCACGGTCAAGAGGAATTTCTTATCCCTGAAAAATCAGGCTCTGTGACTCAGCAAAGGAATTGTTTATGCCTGGTTACTCATATGCCAATGTTTCTATCTGTTCAAATTTAAAAGATTAATCGTGGAGCTGGCCCCGGGGGCCATCACGTTCAGATCGCGGAGCTGCATCCAGTCCAGAGGCCTGCTTCGGCTCACTGCATGCTAGACGTGGGGTCAGAGAAGAAGGGTTTTCACTACCTTACCGTTTTTATTGGAGGCCACCCAAATTTCAGCTTATTTTTTAAATAAGCTCATTTTCATGGAATGGGTTTACTACCTAGAACTTTCATTATTCAGAATATTTAGAGAAAATGAAATAAATTAGCTTCTTTCTCCCAAGTTAAACAAAGCATTATTTTTAATGTATTTAAGATTTAATAATTCAGAATTACTATATGATTGTATACCACTATTTCAGTTCCCCACCCTAAGCCAAATTCCAAAACAATAAACCCAAACCAAAAACAAACCCCCCCCCCCCCACAGACCCCCCAGCCCCCCCAGACACACACACACACACACACACACACACACATACACAGGTCTTTGAGGCCCCTGTGGAGAGGCGGGGGTTTCATGTGGTTTCTCCTTGACACTATAACTCGACAACTTGACAACCAGGTTGGTTTTCCCTGGTACCTAAATCTAACTACTTCCTAGTAGAGAAGTAATTTATCCTGAATGAGGAGCTGCTTTTAGCGTTACCCACTTTTCATGCATGTTTGTATGGTGAAGATTACTTAAGCACCTCATCTCTGATCCCCGGGCTCCTCTACTGTCCGCGGCCAGTGCAGGGGTAGTTTTCCCAGGAGGGGAGAATCAGGGGTGGGTGCCGCGTGTGGAGCGGGAAGACCCACCTTCCTCCTCCAGTTCCCCACGGCTTCCCCCAGCTGCCCATGCCTGCCCCTGGGCACTTACCCACTCCCCACTCCCTCAGGAGCCCCTGCTGAGTCAGACCATGGGGCTTAGGAAGAAGCTAGGAGCCCAGACCTCCTGGGAATTGATGGTTTTGTTATCTCCCTTTTACAGAGAAAGAGGAAACTGAGGCTCAGGAAGGTCAGGGGACTTTCCAAGTCCCCACAGCTGGTAGGCGGTGGAGCTAGTTCAGACCCAGGCTGCTGGCTTGGGACAGTGCTGACGGCTGCCACCGCTGTGTACATGCTTCCGGCCACATCTGCAGGGGCAAATGTGCAGCTTCTCTCGTTGGCTCTGGGGTCTCATCACCCCAGTATTAGGCAGTAGGATTTCCTTTTGCCAAGGCGGTGTCTTGAACGCAAGTCCTGCTCCTGAATGCATTTAAGAAATCTCCATGGAGCCAGACTCTGCTGTACCTGGTGGTTTGCAGACAAGGGAACGTTCCGTGAACTTTTATTTTTCTAAATAAGGAAAAGAACAGTAGAAATGAAAGGGCGGCCGAAACTTCTGTTTTCTTTTCCGCGTTATACTGACGTCATAATGGTAAGTCAGCACGCCCCTAGGAACCGCTGCCGTCTCAGCCTCTTCTGTGGATTGGGTAGCTCGCTCCCACCCTGCCCCAGGAGACAGGTTCTTAGAGGGCAGAGACGATTCCCAGGATTGTGATAGGAAAGGTGGTCAGTAGTTAGTTGTTCAGTGCCCAAGGGAAGAACCCCTGGGGCTGCTGGAGTCTTCAGCCCAGTTATAGGCTGGGGTTTGTGACCCTGAAGCAGACAGGTGAGCGCGTGCTGGCTGGAGGGAACCTGCATCCTGGAGAGGAAGTACCTGGGGAGGCCAGGCTGCCCTCACCTGTCAGTCATGGCTGCCCTTGTTTGTGTTTCCATCACGTGGAGGCTGTTGAAGGAGATGAGGATGTTGACCCTAGAGGAGCCGC